ATTGAACGATATCCGTAGATATCGGCACAGGATTTAGACCAACTGATAAAATTAGTCTAATCGCCCTCTCCCACCCACCGTCATAGTTCACAAATTTCCCCAAATCCACGAAACTTCAACCCACCTGTGACAGTACTTATCCATAATAAAATTTTAATGATTAATTTAAAACTGATAAATGAATAAATAAATTTTGAAAAAAAAAAACTAAAATTAAAAACTATTTATTTATAAACATATTCAATAAAAAATTTTTTATTCTTTGGTTTCTCACAAAATTTTAAATTATTTTTTATTTAATTGATTACTGAAAGAAATTCATAAAAATATGTACACAATTTAATTCAAAAAAAATGACATTACCCATTATATCATTTATTTTAAAGTGTAAAAACAAATAAAACAATTCCAATTATTATTACAACTGAGAGGTACATTACATGCTACACACCAAAAGCTGGCTTTGACATGGCATTTTACGTTTCATATCCAAAATTTTTTGTTTATCAACCAAATGCACCATTGGCATGCTCCTTATTGCTCTCTCCATTCCATAAAATGATCCCAGACACCAGTTGTTGATTCAAAAAGCTCAAAATTTTTTGTCACTCTCGGCTGTTTTGTTTCTTTTTTCGAGCCAGCTCTCAATTGAACTTCCGTGGTATCATTCGCAAGATCTACAAGATCCCCTGTGTTGATCCTAATGTTTGGGCGCCGTTAATTATTGCAGTATCTAATAGCCAAAAAAAAAGAGGTATCCAATTCCTCTGTACCGTTTGCTGCGTATTGTATGTAATACGATCATAATTGGTCCGTAATATCCACGCCATTCATATTGTGGTTGTCATCAATTACCTTAGGGATTTTTAAAAATTTTTTTGATTCGAAACTGAACACCAAATGCATCTTTGCCAATTAAAAAAATAAATAAATAAAATAAAAAAAAATAATAAAAAAAATTTTAATTAAATTTTAAAAAATACACACCTTTACTGCATTTGTGCTCGTCTGTCTTGGCCGCCGTCTTTCGAATTCTACTTTCCAATCCTCACCAACAAGACAATGGATCGTTGATAACATTGTGACTGGCCCATTATCTTGCCAAATAACGGTTAATCCCCATTTACTACAATACCGGAATGAACGTCCCAATCTAATTTGACATTTTTATCTATTTTCAGTTCTTTTGGAAATCCCGAAGCTGTTTTACGGACAGTTCCGCAAGCACTGATACCTATTTGACGAAGATTTTGAAATAGAGGGACATTAGAAAAATAATTATCCATGTAGATGTTGAATGAAAATCGGTGATATGGAAGTTGCGTAACGAGATGGTGAACCAGACACACAATTTGATTAAGGCCGTTCACTTTTGGCAGGTGATCGGTAATGTAGCACACTCAGATTTGCATAACAAAAATAAATTTAAGCGGGTCGCTTAACGTTAACAGTTTAAGGGATAACCCAATTTTGAAATAGAAAAATCACGTATTACATTAGAAATGAGTTCATTTAAAGGATTGCGTAATTGGTATGACGTATAGTGAGGCGACTGATTATATATTGATATGATACATTATGATGAAATTATTATTGACGATATCGTTATCAATTTCAAAAAACAAAAATCGATATGCTGCCGCTTAATATTTTAGCTTGCGCTGTAGCCTTAGCAATAATCTTCTGGAATCACGAACAGATCGAAAACTTTATTCGCGAGCATTTTTCCCGAATTACTCTGCTAAATCGAACGTCTTTTGCGTGTGGGTTATGTGGAGGGCGCTTCCCGAATTTAATCGCGCTTCATCGTCATAATTGCCCCGCAAATTGATCGATGAGTTTTCTGTATGTTGTTTGATTTTTACAACTATTTGAAACATTACTCTTTGACTAATTAATCATTGACATATTTTATTTCTATTTCTTTTATTCAAAATGCTATCCGATATAGATAATCGAAACATATAGTTGAAAAACTGGCTTTATACGCTTGCAAGCCATATCTAAGGACCAATTATCGCCAATTATTAATAACGATAATGCTTAACGTTAATGTTCATCAAAATAATCAATAAAATCTTTTGATTATATGCGTCAATCATTTTCGATAGTTTCTGTGTTGCCCGATCTGAACAAAAATCTTGATTATATGAAAATAATATTTGCCAGGCTTTTCTATGATATATTTCACAGAAAAATGCTCTTAATGACTGTATAAAATTCGATGCTCTCACTTTTCTCAGAGAACATTTTGGCGATAAAAATGTTCTCTTATTTTAGAACAATTTGGATCAGAGGCCATGTCCATCAGTAAGCACTAAGTAATTATAAAATAAAGATTTTTTTGCTTGATATCAAGTTTTGAATTCATATAGCGAAATTTTGACTAAACAACAATCTAATATTTTGTGAAAATTAATTATGTAGTTCCATTTTAAATTCCTTATCCTTTCTAAATATAACGATAATACTGTGCAACATTAAACACCCTCCGAGACAAATAAATAATATGACCATTGAATGTATCGAAAAATCACACATTAAACTATTTCAAAGTATACGAGATCAAGCGATCCATAGGAGTGTGCAAATTTTGACAATAGCCAAAGAATGCAAAACAAATCAGACTTAAAGAGAGAAAAAAGTGCATAAATCTGTCTTGGACTATTAATCAAAAATGTTGGGAAGGCAATTTTACATGTAATCTTGTCTCTCCATTCAATACCTTACCCTGACTCTAATCGGATGTAATGAAAATTCAGAATTCAAATTTGAAATTTGGTTCCTATTTTCTATTTTGATTTACGTGTGTGTGACAAACACCAGAAAATTTGAATGGACGAATTTAATACATATGCATGTATAGGTTAAATGTGGCAGATTAAAATGAAATCGGATTAAAATGAAATTGGGGTCTTTTTGAATCCTCTTTTAATGCCTCTGAAATCCATATATACTCTTCTATTAACAAACGTTACCCTAAATCCTAATCCAAATTGCAAAAAAACCTAGAAAATTGTCCCCAAAAAAATACGAAATTTTCATATTAAAATAAATAAAATTTCATTTTAATCTGTCACATTAAATAATTGGTAAATAATGCAAAAGTTATAAGTGAATCTTAAGTTATACGGGGGAAGCTATACATGTACATATATAAAAAGAAATGACTGCAAAATGATCGTTACCTGTAAATGTTAAATATGCGACGAATGTCCAAATTTGCTAGGATCAAAACGGAAGGCAAGCAAGTTAATCTTAACATAATATTACATGTTCACTCTTTAAAATACATGTATATGAGCGCGAGAATATTAGACGATATCGATATACATCTAGCGGTAGGGTTATTATTAAACGTTAACCTTGTTTTCAATTAGCGATTTCATTATCGTTATCGTTACTTGTACATGTATTAACTTTTAGGACCGTCAAAAAACTGGTGAATGTGCCAAAAATCACATGTAGTATAAAAACAATACTCTATATCACAAATTTGTTGCACAACTCATTTAAACGTGTACGTAGAAAGAAAATTTCTTTTAATTGAAATTTATTTGCATGTACATGATTGTGTAGATATTTAAAACTTCTTTCGTAATACCAGTGTTGGCATATGACCTTATGACTTGGGTCATATAGTCGACCAATAAAATTTCGCCAAAACTTTTATTGGACAAGTAAAAACGATGAATCTTCTTTGCGCGTGCTCATCTTTTCTTATTGCGTAAAATAGATTCTTAGTCTTTAAGAACAATTCAAGTATAGCGTAGAATTTTATTATCAAATGAAATAATGTAATTCTAACTTTATTGCGCATTTGTAGAAATGTAATCTTTGCCTAAAATAAAGAAGATTCTAAATCGTCAACAAATAAAGCATTCGAAGACCACTTCGCTTTTTCATCATCAGAAGGATGTATAGTGCGCCCTGCCAAACTAAATTCATGATTCCATTCTGTAGAAGAAAAAATGAAATCTTCTTCAGATTCGAATTGATTTTCACGATTCCCTAATTCAATCCAATCATCAATTAGCTGATACCACTGTTGTTTGTTCTCCTTGATCACTTCTTCAATAATAATATGAGTATTATGATTATGTTATTATTAATACGAATAGATAATAAAATTCTTACCTTCATTTTCACCCATTACTTCACCATTTTCTTCATGAGTTGCTTCAATAATTTCATCATCACTGCTTGTATAGGATTCATTTTCTGATTATGTGATTTCTTCGTCTGGAATTATTTGTGGCGATGTGCAATCGATGTATCTCTCTTCACAATCATGAGCTTCTTTAATCTTGCGACCATATAATATCACTTCTAATCCGACTCATTGCCAGTACTTTTTCTGCTTTTTCAGTTAAAAATAAAATAATAAATTAGATTATCATTATAAATTCAATCGATCAAATAAATAAAACTTAAATTAACCAGCAATTTGTTATGACAGATTGTGTGTAAAAACCCATACTTGATAAAAGTCATTTTATTGAAGTGGAATTAACACATATTCCATGAATTTGAATTGCTACACATGATAATGCTGGATCAATACCACTTGTTAATTCCCAGAAATCAAACAAATTTCCCTTAAATTGGTCAAAAAAATCCATATTATATAGATCTTCGCCACGTTTATACCTGATCAACTCAGATAAAATAGAATGTGAATATGATCCGAACCAAGCTTCATAGTAATACTTTAACCATTGACTGATATATGTCCAAGTAAGATCTCGTACTCTTGACCAAAATTTTGACAATTTGTGTACCAGATTTAATGCAAAAGATAAAATAAGAAGTGGTTATTCCCATTCTTTCCACTGGCTTTCTATTCTTGTTATCATTCTTGATCCAAATTCAAAATTTTGATATTCATCCAAGATTTTGATCATATAGTCAAAATGATGAAGCATTTCATACAAATGAGCTGTATCTTTTTGTAACATGTTGAGAAATTCACATAATAGATACAACATATCTTGTAATTCAAATAATATAGATCAAAACTCCAAATTATTAACTATACCATTAGGAAGTTTTCATGTTCCATTTCATAATAATGAACTTTTCTTTGCTGTAATACTTGTATACCATTTGAACGTGTAACATTAATTCTTTCTGGATTGAACTTGGCAACAAGATACTTTAATTGAAAATTAAATAAGTAAAATTAAATAAAAAATAAAATTAAGAAATTTTAATTATCTTAAGTGCTGCTTGAAACTTTAAAACAGAATAAAAACAAAAATAGTATGAATTCCATCTAGTATCTTCTGGACTTACACATGAGATAACTATTTGTGATATTTGCATTTATTCATCTCGAAGAACTCTAGTAAGGTATACTGATTATTGAAGATAACTGATAATTTTTACTGCTTCTTTGGATATTCTTTTAAATAATATTAATTCTTTAAAAATATTATCAAAACCAGATTCATTTAATGTGTGATACAAGAAAAAAAATACTTGATTAGTATATTTTCATATTAATTTGTAACTATAAATAAATTTTAATATTAATTAAAATTAATATTTGTGATAAATTAAAATGAAACAGAATTAAAATATACCAAGCTGTAGTATACTCTTCTGCTAAATCTGAAATAAATGCTTTAATAAATATATTTTTTCTTCAGTTTTAGATCATTCTGCACTTATATCATGTGCACCCCTTACCAGCCATCAAATATAACTGTTACATCATCAGAATCTGATTTCACAATTTTTATAATATTTCTTTTAAAATGTTTGCACCATTTATTAGAATATTACCATCTGCTTGTCTTTATTTTGGTAATCTTCATCCAGATGAATAAATTGAAATACTGCAATAGTATCTTCATTTTTAATAAAGTTAAAAGAAAGTCTATTTGACATAATCATTCTTAACAAAAGTCATGCAAATTGTGATATGTCATTATATAATATTGGTCAATAAAAGTAATTTATTACAGATGTTATTGATAGTTGGTGGAAGTATGGCTTGATGTGATAGAAGTTATTTTATGAGTCAAAGAAGAGGAAAGAAAAGAAATTGAATTTTTCTGATGTTTGATAATATTATTATCATCATTATCCATATTTAAATTATTAGTAAATTAATATTATTAATTATTAATTTTAATAAAACTCATCTTCTTTTCTTTTTTCTATTATCCTCAGGAACAGGCAAATTCAAAACACGTTGTACCTCATCAGAAGTGGCATATTCTTTAAAATTTGAGCATTGACAAATGACTTCGCCAATAGCTTTGCATGATTTGCAGTAGTACATTCAGATTTACTTTGTGTTGTTCCCAAAAACTATCATATTTTTCTATACACCAGTTACAAACTGCAAGTGCATTTGTAGCATTATTAGGGTTTTTAACTAGTGTAAAAAACTGGCAAAATTTGTGTGGTTCTTTGCCGGCCATTATTAACTAACATTTGCGAAAAATTTTAGTAAGAATCATATGATTTATGATTTATGACCAATAATAATTCGGTCATAACCATCATATGACCATATAATCATATGATACATGGTCATTTGGATATATGATCAAGGTCATTTAGAAATTTTGATATATACCAACACTGCGTAATACATATACATGTACTATATATCATTGTTTGAGCTAAAATGCTAATATTATCTTTTATTTTTATTTCGATACATTAATAAATGCGTAACATATAACTCGATTTCTTTATATTCATTGGAAACAAGGAAAAAATTTTCATTATATCAAAGCGAAAGTTTGTAAAATCTTTAATTGAAACTCAGTAAAGTAAACCTACAAATATTCTTCAATCTCCTAAGTATGAATTAAGTTTCAGTATTAATATTCAGGAAATAACGAGAAATTCAGTATATTGAGCCGAATTGATTTGTATCTATCTTCATAAATATTTAAGACTACATGTACTATGAGTGAGACTCATTAGATTATTCCGATACCAAATTATTAATAATGAACAAATATTTCCTTTGTACAATAACCTGAAAATCAGGTCAAATTTATGTTTTACGCGATTAACAATAGACATTTATTTTCTTTGTTAGCGTTAGTATAATACGAAAAATCAGTTTTGTTAACATTAAAATTAAATGAAAAGATCTAACAGAATGGTGAATTTCACTAATAATTTCTTCATTTTAACAAACGACAGTTGCGTGGTGGTCACATATTTGCATTTCATTTCATTACTGTTTTGATCCTCAATTCAAAAAACAGGAATTCGATAGTTCGACATTGTAATAATAACCAGAATAATCAAATGAAAACTCGATCAACATATTTTCAAATTATTTTCTACCCTTCCACTACAAACCTACTGCATCACCAAGATTCTTGATGGTTGTTTCCTCTAAATTTTTATGCAAAGGTTGCCAATAAACTTAGTTCTACAATACATACATGTAAAATGGGGTGTCACCTGTAGGGCAGAACCCAAGTGAACTAATAAAATTAAAATTTGTTATTAATGTTATCGAAACAAAATCTCTTGTATTAAACCATTCTACAAAGTGAATCCAAAGATACAGACATTATTTCATTAAATGTTGCTATTGACAAAAATATGACTATTGCAATGAACGTTTAGTCATAACACTCATCAAGAAGATCAGCTTGATCAACGAAAATGGTCTAACGATATCGATAATCTGATAAAATAACGTGCGAAAGTCAATCGAGGTAATTAGTTCAAATGTTCTTATGAAAAATTTACCAATTTTGAATACTTTGTAATAAGAGGTTTTGGGACAATTTATAAGGCATGGCTACATGATAATGAGTAGTAGGATCATGGAGAAAAAAATTTTAAATAGCTTGATGACGAGGTAAAATATAAAATATTTCCAAGGTGAAAGCAAATTGCTTTTTCGTTTTCGGATGCAATAAATTTTCAAAAATAATTCAGATCGCTCTTAAATGCAAACATTACCATATAAATAACAATGTCAGCCATAACTATTTTAGATGTCAAATTTAATATGAGCATACAATGAAATAGCATCCGATAATAGTGTATTAACGAATATACCAAATGAAACTGTAATCTTCTTGCATATTAATAAATCTAAATCCTCCTCAGTCACGATGGATGCCTCTAGTTAGAATAGCACTTGATCATCTTGTTGCCCCAATTAATAATATTTATAGTAGAGAGTTTTTTTCGGTTGCAAAACGTTACTAAAAGTGCTACGCGATGCCGAAAAGGCGCGCGCAAGTCTTTTCTTAAAACGTGTAAGGTTGATAGAGTTATGAAAATGGAGTGTATCCGCTTCTTAATAATTGAGATATATAAAAAAATTACGATTATATGTATACAGTATATCGTAAGCATATAATTATATTGATGGAAAGAAATAAATAAATCGCCTTAAATAGTGAAGTGCAGCTGTTCAACTAATTCAGCTCTTGAGCTTTTAAGTTCATGACCAGACAGGATTTTTTAATTTTCCTATCAATTGCTGGTGCGCAAAATTTTTCAGCAATTATGTTTACTGAAGTTCCGGACCGGATATACACATTTAAAATAAAAAAACAAATAGGATTTTTTCAAAATTAATAATAATACACTCTGTAAGATTATATTGCAATTAAGTGTAGCAAGAACCAAATTTATACTAACTCCAATGGGTGTATAAAATGTTTGACTGTGCCAACTACTATCTGTCAAAATTTTTCACGCCACCACAAACAAGATAGAAAGTATCGGTATTAATATAAATGCATATTCTGACTAAAACATTAACAAGACAGAAACATTTTATACATTCTCTCAATATGAAACTAATAAATCATAAGAATTAATATTGTTTAAAATATGAGATACTTTAACAAATTATCGATACAATATTAAATAAGTATTATACAATGGATCTTTTTTATTTGACAAGTAAAAATATCTAGTTTTAGAGTTATGTGTTAAATTTATTACTTAACAGAATTATTCTTTCATCACTACACACATGTATGATTTTTTGTAGGAAAGCGATAATTCGTTCCCTATTCGTTTATCCTGGAAATACATTGTACATCGACATGTACACGTACTGTTCAATGTTTAACAACATGTACGAAGCCCAGAGTCTGTGTTTTTAACTTTATTAGGTAAAACTATTTGGCGATCAAGAAAAATATCGATATCAATATTGCATGTACATGTGCTCCTTTGAACACAAATATAATACGTACAGGACATATATCGATATACATGTACATGTACTATCGCTATATTTGAATTTGCACGATGCACAACAATTACAGTACATACATTCATTTCTTTGATTATTTTTGCTTTTCCATATCGATCTTGAAAAAAATTCAACTGCTAGTCAATTAAAAAATGACGGGTATCTATTGGAAGATAAATTAAATAAAAATTCATTGAAAGAGAATAAAAACGATTCAAGAAATTGATATCGATATATTTATTCTCAAAGACTCACTAGAAAATGTGGTACATAAAATCTACGATTTCGACAACTCGGTCAAGTCAATCCATTTTCAACAAATAATACCGCCAAACCCGTATATAAAAGCAACGAAAGAAATATCAGCAAAGATCTTCTGGACATTTTCAATTATTATATCCTCGTTTATTGTTGTGGTGTCGTTTTATCTGTTGATCCATTATTGGAGCAAAATTCCGGTAATATCATTTTTGTTTCATTTTCAATCGGATTGGATACTAAATTTTACTTTTTTCAAGTAGATTATCTCTAGGGTTTTTGTTATGATTTATTTGGCGTTTGATTTTTTGACACGCTCAATTTTTACAGCGCTTGTGTTTATAGAGATGCTAGATTGTGATTTAGATGAACTGATCATTGCTATTCCAGCATTAATTGCTACTGCTTGTGGTATTTCTTTTGTCCATATTTTTTATTTTTGAATTTGATATTCACACACCAATTAGCTCAATTAATTTTGTGAATGAAATTAGGAAAAGAAGATTTCCTATTTCGCCTAGTATCAGACATTGATGAAATAACTGCGGATGTATTCGATATTTATACAATGCTTACCACGATATTACTAATCCCTTTTCTGGTTGTTATTCTTCGAGATCCTACAAACATTGAAGATACTTTGCTTCAGTGGTTGGCTGGTGGGTTGATGGCTGGAGCTTGTTTTATAGTAGCAAAGTGTGTGGGTCTATTTATTTTTTGTAAATTTGATCCGTTTAGAATTGATAACGATTGAGAGATTGCGCAAAAATAATGATATTTTTATATGATTTGTAAGCAAATCTCTGAACTTATTGGTTTATATATCCATTATATTTAGTGACTCAGCTCAGAAAAACGTATTTTATTCTCAATTATTGACTTCTACGGCGTTTCATTTATTTTATTGGTCTAAAAATTTATTTACTAATAAAATAACAGTTTTTGACAAAAAAAGTTACAATGAAATAGAACAGTACCTCTTTGAACAATTTTATTATTAATCTCATATCTTTTATTTATTTCAAAAACGAATATTTTTCTCATTATATTGATCGATATCATTCTCTACTCATGTCATGATATTTTTTTCTGTATATTTATTCTTATTTAGTTTGATTAATGGGATAATTGACGGTTTTTCTATCGTTATATAATTTTAATTTACATCTATCTACAAGACATGAATGAGAATCAACCATCTATGTTACGAAATACGCACGATTTAGAAAAATTCTTTTTAAAAATTTAACATTTTGAGCTTCTGTATTGCAACAATAGGAAATTATTATTCTTCACAAATGGTTTAATTCGGAGGATTGCTATCAAATCACGATGCCATTCCGTTTGTTTTTGTTTATATTTCAGTTCCTTTCAGTTTCTGAATTTTATCCGAAGTTCAGAATAAAATATTTGGAATCAAAAGAGATGTTTCTGATGCAGATATTCCAACTCATGGATATCACCAATCCCAAACCCAGGATAATTCAACATTGAATGCTATTTTGGTAGTCTCAACCAGCAAATAGAAAGTATCAAAACCAGTAAAAGATCAAACTATAATGGAAATAACTCTGGTTATCAGTCTAATAACCAAAACTTTAAACCAGTTTTACATGTTATAATTGTGGTGAGCCAGGTCACATTCATCCAAACTGTCTCCAGCTACAATCATATAAGAATAACCAGAACAACTTTGGAAATAATCATAAGAGAACAAATAGAAATAATTAGCAATAAAATAATATGCCATCAAATCAGGCAAATACTAGCAATAATCAAAATGCCAATAATAATCAAAATGCATTATTAGCTCAAATACAAGCTCTTATTGATAATATTCAGACATTAACTGTCAAATCAGATAATATAAATTTATTACTTGATATACATGAATACTTGGCTGCTAATAGGAAGACCAGAAATTCCAGAACTACTCCTTATGGAACTAGATCTATAGGTCAATCCCAGAAGGAAACTGTGAAAGATATTGAAGAGCCAGATGTTATTAAAGAGGAAGAACAAGAAGACACTCCTGAAATTATTCTTGATTGGGATATGAATAATGTTGAATCATCTAAAATACTTGATAAAGAGATTAGCAAGAAAACTATTTGCAAGAAGAAAAGTAAAATTACTTTACCTATACTTACTATCATGACTAAATCTTATGATATTCTAGAAGACTTGGTCTAACAAAAAGTAAATATAATAGTTATCTAACTTATTCTGATCTTATCTTTACAAAAAACTCAGGAATATATCAAGTTATAGAGTATTTAAGTCTAAAAAAAGAAGAATAATAATGCTTGAACAAAAATACAAAATTACATCTGTCTGATATGAAGTCAAAGTTGAAAAGAATATTATTAATCTGATTATTATATTAGTATTTCTGGATATGTTATTATATATAACTTTATTAAAGATATAAAATTGAAAATATAATATAATTCAAATATATCTATATCTGATATAAATAAAATATCTAAATAATTTCTTGAAGCTATTAATAATCTACTTTTGAATATTGATAGAATCATAATTTCTACCAAAATAGATATTACTAAAGCAAAAATATACTTAGTAATTGTTGGCATGGACTTTTTAAACAAAATTAAAGCTAATATTGATATCAGAAAAGAATTCATGACTTTTGAATATAATAATCAGAAAGAAAAAGTGCCTATTAAATTTATTTATAGTGATAGAGAAGAACTGATATTTGATGATACCATCTCTGAAGAAGATAAATCAGAAGAAAATTCTGAAAGTGAATTTGAAAAATAATACTTGAAAAAGAAGATTTTCCTTATATGACAACATGATAATTAGAATACTGTAAATTCCAGATAACAAGAATTTCAGGATGATGATAATATTAAAATTATCACAAAAGAAGTCTGGACCCCTATTGAAACTTCAAAACAAAATCTGAAAGATATTAACTTTGGAGATATACCTTTACAAATTATCTAAAGTGTTAAAAAAACTTATGAAGTACAAGCCTATTAGGAAGGAATCAAAATCAAATAAAAGAAATATACCTGGAAAGATTTTAAATAACTTGACAAGAAGTTCACTCAACTATGTAATTGGAACAACTGATAGTTATTTGATTGACAAGAATCAAATAGCCAATGCTGGTATCATCAAAATTTCTTTATGTCTGATCACCAATATCGCTGATACTATAATGAACTTATTACTTAGATAATAATCAAAATTCATAAATCTTTCCATGCTAAATTCAAAACCAATGAAGATTAGGCTGATAAAGTTGAACAAGAACTTTTTGTTAATAAAAGAGTCAAGAAAAGTTTTGATATATATCAAGCCATCTCATAATAAATTTGTTCTAACTCACAGATTGAAAGATATTATAAATATGAAAATTATATAGATAAATATTATACTGGAATATATTTTAAAATGAATGGAGAAAAAGTAATCACCTGTAATAATTGTATCAGAGAAAAATAATTGAATCTTTCTGCCTATTCTTAATATGATAAATGTAATGAATCCAGAGAAATGTTTGTTACTGAAAGCTATCAGAAATAATACTTCTGTACTTATAAATATCAATGTGTTTATTGGTTTAATCATGGAGGATGGAGAAAAAATACTAAAATAATCAATAAGCTTAGAGATCAAGAAATACTATTAGAAGTTTATGATAAATATGATGAAATTGACAAAGTAATTCTATCTCACTTTATGTATGAAGATGACTATATTCAAGAAATCATCTATGAGAGTTCCATAGAAGTCTTTACTACTAAAATATTTCAATACATCTATCAACTACTCAGTTCTAATTGAAGATAATAGCTTGCTTGCTTGAATTATATTAATATAAAACTCTGTCAAGAATATCTGATCTCTTGTGATAATGATAAATATGATGATTATGTACAATCTGAACTTTCAGCTAAATTAGATAAAGAAAAACACCTTATGACTTTGGATCTGATCCCAGAAGAAGCAGTAATAAATAAACTAATTGAAGAAATCAGCTTTATCCCTATTTTAACTCAGCCTCCTCAACTTGAATTGAATAAAATATATGAAAGATTTAATGTTATTTATCAAGTTCTTAATGAACTTTCATAATAATTTAATAATTATTTAAAGGATGTTCCTGTAAAATAAAATAATAACTACTATACAGTTAAAGTTTATAATGATCAAGACAAAGGAAAATTACTAGAAAAAGTATATCTTACTGATACTAGATATAATATTTATTATACTGGAAAAGAAGTGATTAGTATTCTCTCACATCAAGTCATATTAGTAAATATCTATATTGTCATAGAAATTCCTGTAGAAGTTATATGTCAAGTAATATCTCATTTATCTCTTGCAAAACAAGGAATCAATGTTAAAGATGGAATTATTGAATCTGAATATATTGGAAATATTAGTATTATTATCCAGAATAATTCAGAAGAAGATTATATTATTAAATCAGATCAGAAAATAGCTCAACTTGTCTTTCTTCAACTTGCACCTATTAATTAACTTAAATCAGTTTCTACTAGAAAAGAACTAGGACAATCTAGTTGAAAAATAGCTGAATTTGAATTTATTGACTATCAAGAAGCTTATACTATTTTTTGGAACAAGAACAAGAAGAAAAAGTTATTGAATAATGAAAATTAATTACAAAACAAGAATGACTTCTTACTCAACTACTAGAAGATAATGCTGATATCTTTGTAACTAAATTACATGAACTTGGTCAAAGTAATATAATTCAACATGAGATACATACTAGAAATGAATCACTAATCAAGCAATAACCTTATAAAATCACTCTTTCAGATCAATCATTTATCTCAAAAGAAATTCAAAGAATGTTAAAAGCCAATATTATTCAACTATCAACTAGTTCTTGAACTTTATCAATTGTTGTAGTTTCTAAAAAGAATGGAAAGAAAAGTTTTGTATTAATTACAAAAAAATAAATGCAATTACTCAAAAAGATGTATATCTATTATCAAGAATTGATAAAATAATAGATTCTCTTAGAAATGCTCATTGATTTTCATTTATGCACTTAACTTTTAAATACTGGTAAATTGAAATGAAAGAAGAAGATAAATCCAAAACTGCTTTTATCTCTAGAAAAAGACTTTTTGAATTTAATGTCATGCCTTTTGGATTATATAATACTCCAGCCACTTTTTAATATGCTATGGATATAGTACTAGAAGAATATAATTAGAAGTTTGCCAATGTGTACATTAATGACTTGAATATATTTTCAAAAGATTTTGAAGAACACTTAGATCATCTCAATAAAGTATTTTGCAGAATTCAAAATGCTAATTTGAAACTCAATCTGGAAAAGTATAACTTTTGCAGAAGAGAATTATCATTTCTTGAATATATAATAATAGAAGAAGAAATTTCTCCTGACCCATCGACAATTCAGAAAATACAAGACTTTTCTCAACTTAGAATAATTAAAGAACTTTGTTTATTTCTTGAATTAGCTGGATATTATAGAAAATTTATTAAAGGATTTTCTCAAATTACTGTATCTCTATTTAAATTACTTTGTAATAAGAAATTATTCATTTGAACTATAAATCAAGAAGAAGCTTTTCAACAAATCAAACAACATCTTATAACTATATCTATTTTGATTTATCCTGACTTTACAAAATAATTCTATCTTTATACTGATA